TGCATAATTTTCCCTTCCACGTAAACTCATGAGGAAAACTGCCACCATGTATGATCTCAGCACTATGTACAGTATATGTAGTGTGGAAAAGTCAAAATTTTACTTTTTTTACCTTTTCTAACAGTTGGTTGCGTCCTCAAAAGGTGTTTTCATGATCTCACAGATGTCTGCTTTCTGCACAGCATGATGAAAGGTTTGCTCAGGCAGAAGCCAACTTTTAAGTCTATACTTCCATGTTCAGCTCTGCTCTGTCTGCAGAATTATAGGATTTAAACATTGGTTATGCCCCATGCAGACATTTTATCTTTCTGGACAGACAGACTTATTACTGTACGACGTACAAAATAAAGTTTTGACTTTTCTCCTATGGTTTGCACAGGGAATGCTGTGACTGAATCATAGAGAGACATACAGAGTGCTAAGGTCACATAGGGCTAACTAAGACCAAGAGGCTAGTTCATGAAGCTTTTTGTTTTCTCCTATTTTATATACTAATGAACAAAATAAGTAACTACGTTTTGCCACATTATTCAGGTCGTTTAAAAGCCATTGCAAAAAAACGCTAAAAGAGGTCATGCCAGCCCCCCACTATGATGACAGTGAAGAATAGTTTTGTAAATACTACATTGTAAAAATATCCAGTTTCAAGTAAAAGTCCTGTTTTCAAAATTATACTTAAGTAAAAGTACAGAAGAATTAGAATCAAAAGTTAAAGTAATTCGTATTCAGCAGGATGTTATATTGTATAATACTTAATTATGATTACTTATTTTAATGTTGAATTACTGTGTTAACCTATAACAATGATTGTATTTTTTTTGTGTTTAACACTGGTTTTGTGTGTACGAAACTGCAAAGTAATTGGTATCTATACTGTAGCTGGAAAGAACATTTGCCTTTGAAATGTAGTGCAGCAGCATAAAGTAGCATAACACGCCTCAAAATTGTTGTTAAATACATGTACTTGAGTAAATGCATATTCCACCGGCTGCATTTTTTTTTTTTTTGCTTGTCAAACTGTAAGTAAATATATATATTAAAATATGCATTTTTTGAGTGTAAATAAAAGGTGAAAAACACACAATCCAGGAGGAAATCAATGTAAATAAACAGTAAATAAAACATTTAGAACAGAATAGTAACAATAACAACTGTATATACACGTGCATGCATATGTGCATGAGTGT